AGCAGGTGACCTAGTGCAAGGTGCTCTTTCCTCCCCCTGAGCCTCAGAGCACAACCTGCCCTCCCCACCCCACCCCCCAGCATCCCTGCAGGGTGGTGATGAGGCCAGCAGATAATGGATATAAAGCACAGAGTACACAGAATCACTCAAATGATAACTACCATTATTAATTCATCCTGGTCACATCCTACTTAGGGTCAAATGGCTTCCTAATTTCCATCACATCAGAGTAAGATGCCATTCCTAGCAGTCCTGCCCTCCATGGTTTGGGCCCTCCTTCCTCTCTAACAGCAACACTACCTTCTATCTATGGGCCACTTGCTATGCACCAGGAACTCTGCACTCACCATCTCATTTAATCTCACAGCATCCTTCCAACCACAGTGATACTACCTATATTTTATAGCTGAGGAACCTGTGGGGAGCAGTGCAGGGGTCTTGCCGCACCCTCCACCGGCCCACACCACATGGCCTGAGTTTGGTGCAGGCAGGCAGCCCTCTCGGTTGGGATAGTCTCCTTCACCCGTTTCCAGTAACCTTACCTATCTGGTTCAAGTTCCACCACCTCCAGCAAGCACTTTGCCAACCACCATTCTTTGTGCTGGCTCCTTATCTCAATTCCCAAGTACTTAATTTGTTCCACAAAATTTAGTATTTGATCACTTATGTGATTACAGTACTGTTATATGTCTATTATCATCAATTACACTACAATTATGGTAAAAATTACAATACAAACTCCTGTAAGGAGCAGAACGCCTTTATTAAACAGTTATCATTGTATTGTTCCATAAACTTAGCTTTTGTTTTTCAGCTTTCTGGTGGATTCTGCATAAACGGTTTTATACACTTTGGAATTTTTGTAATGCTTCTGCATCCTAATTATTGCCAACTATCAGAATTCGTAAGTATGGATTTTACCAAAACCAATTTATTAAAATGTCTTAACAATTTTAAGAATTAGATCACATTTGCTTATTCAGTCCCAGTAGAGTATTCATATTCAGTATGTCATAAATGCTCAATATCTGTTAATGAATGAAACTGTAATTGTTTTTAATTTTTTTTCAACAGTAAGATTAAATTTTATCATTATACTCATTAGTTTCTGCATAAAGAGTTAATAATTACAAATAATTTGTTAGTATCTTATTCACAACTCAGAAAA